AATCCAAAAAAAAAAAAAATTAAATTAAAAAATCTCCAATTACTCTTTATCATCCTGAAGAAGATTAAGAAGAAAGTCCACATTTTGAGAAGATGCTTTGGAGCCATCAGCTTAAATCTCCTCCTCCTTTATCGAACTTGTCACACGAAGGATATTCAAAAGTTGATCGTAAAAATATTTGCCATGTGTGTGGACAAAATGTTGCTTTTTTGCCTGAACGGTCAGGTGGAATTGGGGGAAACCAACTTGGGAGGGGACGGTCAAATGTGCAAAATGTCACATCACCGTGGAGGGGACGGTCAAATGGGCAAAATGTCTTATCACCGTGGAGAGGAGGATCCCAAATGGGGTAGTTCTCCCACGTGTGGAAGTCAACAGGAATGTCTCTCCTCTCTGCAAAGTTTGGGAGCCTCACCCGAAACGTGGTGTTCCGCCCCGTTTGTTGGACAGCGCCCCCTTACCTTCAGTAAGCCGAGGGGACACCCCCAAGGGGAAGGAGGCCCGTCGGGGAAGGCCCAATTGGGCGAAGCGGGAAAGGAAGAGGGAAACAAAGCGGGAGGCGAAGCAGAAGACGACGCAGGTCATACCCCACCGTACAACACACCCATAGACCAATCAAGCGAAGACAAGACCATCACCGCGAACGTTTACTTCATCTGCTACTACATGCTCACAAACTATGACGACGAGATTGTCGGAGAGATTTCCCATTTGTGCAAAATCATAATCAAGTATTGGTACATCCTGCACAAGAACTTGGTTCTCATGGGCTACTTTGTCCTTCTGTCTGAACTTTTTTATGAGGGAGGAGATTCCTTTTCGGCTCGGTTAGAGCTCCTCTTGGGCAGCAGACGCTTCGCCGATCTTTTGGATGGTCACCGATTAAGCGACCGTCTGTTGGGTGGAGCGCGGCAGAGCGCAGGGGAGAGCAGCGACTCGGGTAGGGCTGCAGGTGGAGACCGAGGTAGTGTTCCAGGCAGCCTTCGAGGTATCCCTCCAGGTATCCCTCCAGGAGTCAACCAATACAGTGTCCCCCCTATCCCCCAGCGACCCAGCCTGCAAGACGATCTCCACGCCATCTTCACAAACCTCATCAAGTCGCTGCAGCCAGAGGAGCACCCCCTTATCCACCTCGACCCCGAAGCGAATTGCACCCTGGAACAGTTAAATGAAAATATCGGTACTTACTACTTTAGGCACCTCTACAACGTTTTTATGTTAAGAAGGCAAAGCGACGTGTATCTTCTGCGATTTCTGAGGGGATATCTGTACTTCCGTTTTTTTAATAACCACACAGATGGGGTGCCAGTCGTTAGGGAACATTTCTCTGTGAATTATTTGCTCTGTCTCTACGAGACGTCCAATGTGGTTTATGTGAATAGGGGGACTTATCGCCCCCAGCGTGATTCCTCCACCATCCTCAGCGAGGACAACTCATTATATTCGCTAAACATGTATGAGCAGCTGGATCATAAGGGGAGCCATTGCTCAGGTGACAAGTCGAACTGGACTAAAACGAGATTTTCCCATTTTCGAAACATCAAGGATGGTTTGAAGTTGCAAGACGTGGGGTGAGTCCTACTCGGACGAGCCATCACGCGCCATGGGGTTCTTCTCGGCGTGTGGAGTTCAACAATTGGCCGCATCCTGATCATCCCTTCTTGATCAGCCCTTCCTGATAGCCACGTTTCGATCAGCCTTCCTGATCGCCACGTCTTAATCGCCACTTCTTATCCTCCTCACCCCGCCGCAGACTCATCGGAGACGTGAGCATCCTCTTCTTCCTCCTCACGAACGAAAGGCAAGTGGAAAACCACCTGCACGAAGTCATGTTCACCACGTGGGACAACTCTAGAGAGAGCACTGGAAGGGAGACAAAAAGGGAAGAGCTCGTTTTAACGAACAAGTGGTGGAAGGAGATCCATCACTTCGCTAACTCGATCGATTGGGGAAAACGAAGCAACTCACAAGAGGGAATATCTAACACATCTGAAGCAAACTCGACAGGACATTTGGCCCCGACGGGTGATGCATACAGGGAAGAAGAGGAACCCCCTCTTAAGAGAAAATGCAAATGCCTTCATTTTATCAACTTTTATATGGACGCTCTCATAGTGATGCTCTGCACACATGGAACAGTTCATTCGGAAGGAGAAAATAAAACGGAGACAACTCCAGTTATGTCACATAGGCAAATAACAAACGCCACAAACAAGCAACCCATTTCTGAAGAGGCCCTCCAGAATGACCTGGTCAAAGACATCCTGCAAGAATATGCCGGCCTCTATAACAGCTACTTTTATTTAGCCCTTCAAATGAAATGGCCTCAGGGGATTCCTAACTTGAGGATGACGATGGAGAAGGTATTCCTATTCCTGACGTCGAGGAGGGTTAAAAAGGCGCATCATATCGACGCGACCGATGATGAGGTGGACCTGCGCCAGTACTACCTCTCCCTCCTGCTAATATGCATGAACAAGTGTTTCTGTGTCTCATCCCTCTGTGGGTATCAAGATTTGATGGAAAGATACTTCTCTAAAAATTTCATTTTTTGCCTGTTAAATGTGAGGAACCCCTGTTCATACGTGAGGGAACTGGCCGAGTACACAATACAGAATGTCCACCTCTGTCGCCATGGGGGAGTGCGTAGCGAAGTGGGGGCACCCAGTGACAGCTGCATCTCCACACAAACAGGGGGGAGCGGCGTTCTTTGCGTCCCCGCCCACGACAGCAGCATGGTTGACGGGGTCCCAAGGGGAGAAGCAATCCACCTGGACACAGCCGATGTAGCGGGTGCTACCTGTGTCACAGGTGTCACCTCTGCCGCCGATTTCGCCGACTGTGCTCATACTCCTGATATGGCCAATCGGGATTCCTCACAGGTAGACCGCATGGAGGATATCCTAAACCAGAACAGCGAAGCTATATCGGCTTATGTGTATAAAAAGATAATAGACATAGATTCAGTTCACAGCTGCAGAAAGATTTCGACTCTGACGCAGTTCCTCGTCATGCACCACTTTTGCCACGTTTATATTTTTAAAGATATTTGTGTCCACATAATAAAGTACGCGAGGAGGATGCACTTCCTTTATTTGGATCGACAGAGGAAGGACGAAATGGCGGTGCTCATTTTGACTGTTTTTAATTATGTCCTTTACTTGTTTTACGAGCATATCAGTCGGAACCGAGTCGAGCTTTGTGTGCGAGGGAACTACGTGGCCCAGGTGAGGAGTCGCCTCCTGCACGGGGACACGCGCGTGAATTTTTGTCACCTCAGGGGGGGGGCAGTGGAGAGGAGTGGAGAAAGGGGTGAAGACAGTCGTGAAGAGAGCGTCGAAGAGAGCGTTGAAAATAGCGGTGATCAGGGCGTTGATCAGAGCGTTGACCGGAGTGGGCGTGGACGTGGTGACCAGGATGGCCACCCAACCGTACCACTTGGCGAACGGATCCGCGCCCCGACTGGCAAAGGGACCCCTCGCAGCATACTCCACAGGGACCATGAGCAGAGAGAAAAGAAGAAGCTATTTCTACACAATTCACTCTTTTTCAAATTTCACGGAGACCTCTTCAATGTGGTGCACCTAAACGCAGTAAGCAGCGACGAGGCCAAGAGAGACTACTTTAAGAACATAGAAGAAGACATGAGAAGTATTATCAACAAGGCAGGGGAAAACATTCCGTGTGAGAGGCTTGTAAACATCCTTGTGGACGATGATTTCTACGACTTGTATGATGAAAAAGAGGGGAGGGATACCACTGCACGAAGGAACCCTGGCGAGGGTGCTACAAAGGACCTTAAAGATAATAACTACTTCAATAGAAGGAAGTACCACCAAGAGGTTCATTACCACGACATCAGGCACACGGCAGACCATATTTTCCACTTTGCAAAGAAGTTTCTTTGCCATGAGGAGTAAGTTGAGGAAAACGAGAGTGGAGAGTAGCCCACAGTGCGATTCATTACACAGTTGCGGTTCCACCTCGACACGTCCTACATCCATCCATTCATATGTATGTCTTTTCCCCCCCACACCCCTTTGCAGTCTCTACGTGCGATTCAGTGCCCACCTCTGCGCCCTACGATGCCTCTTCATTTTTTCAACGCGACTGTATGAGTTGTATCCGAAGATATACCAGGTAATCCACCACATAGAATGAAAGATAGAGAAAGAGAGAAAAGGAAAAAAAAAAAATCCGTGCAGTTTTGCACTACATTGCGAGAAGGGGGATGAACAAATCGCATGGCGAACAACCCCACCATCATCATCACCATCGTAGACTTCTTTATGTCCCTTTCGCCTCCCTTTCCAGCTGTGGGGGTACGTAAAAATCAACTTCAGAAAAGACGACTACATGAACGACACAGTCCTTTTGAAAATAATTAATTACGTGGCAACCATCGATGATCAATTTTCCCCAAATTTGTAAATCGAAAAAGAAAAAAGAGAAGGAGGTGCACTCGCTTCTTGGTGTGCTCCTGCTCACTGTTGCACACCCCTCTATTGGGTGCACAACATCTTGGTTTCTTGGATGGATGTCCCGTCTTCCTCCCGCCGATGGGACAGGGTTCACACAAGTCCTCATTTTCGCATGGGAGGAGGAGGCGGGAATATCTCCACTTTTTTCCTTTTTGGCTATTTTTTGCCTGACGTGTTCAGGTGTTTTTATGCCATATATTTTTTCTCTTTTTTTGTCTCCCTTTTTGTTAGCATCCTTAGCGACATAATACCGGAGCTTTTCCGAAAAATGGAGAAGCTCGAAATGGGAAGGGAGATGCCTAAGCAGAGTTTCGAGCACAGGTGAGACCATTGCGGGGGAGTAGAGTCCCTACATTTGTGCAGTGTGTGGATAACCATGCTGATGTGTTTATCACCCCCACGTACACACTCTACTTCTCCCATCCCCAAACACACAGATTCCTCGTCAACGCAATGCTACTCCTCGTGAACCTGTCAAAGGAGGAAAGCTGTTTTGAGAATATTCACCCTTTTGTCATCCATTTTTGTCTAAAGTGTCTGCGCGAAGGAGTGCACGAACAGATTAAGAGGCTCACCCTAAACATTATTTGCAACTTCTTCCTCAGTGACATTCCAAAGGTCCCGAAAGATTCCAAACGAAGAGGAAACTCTTTTGTGACATGGACGTATGTTCGTGTCGTCCTTGTGTTGGGCCCACTTATCACATGAAATGTTTTTATTTCCATTTTTCTTTTTTTTTCTTCTACCACCCGGGAATTCAACTTTTACAGATAAGCCAAGCAATACAAAATGTGCGCATCGTTAAAGAGAGGATTGACCAAATGTATGGAAACGGTGGAAATAGTGGAAAAAATGGAAGCAATGGAAACAATGACGAAAAGCTACGAACCCAGTTTTTAAGAAGTCTCGTTAAGGATGTCAGTATAGAGCAGCCGTTACTATTCCTTTCCTGTTTTCTGCAAGTGGAAAATATGAAGGATGTCCTTTCTTTAGTATTTCATGTCGATCTCAGTATCGTTAATTTTTTGTCAATTTATTTTGAATTCCTGCAAATGAAGTACAGATATAAATGTCGCCTGCACCAGCACTGCCTTCTCGTGTCCAGTCACTTCTTAGGGGGGGAGCACCCAGGGCGTGTGGCGACTCCAGGTGGAGGCACACGTGGGGTGTCCCAATCTTTGGCGTGAAGGGTTGCCATGAAGGCTTGCCGTGAAGAGTCGCTCTGAAGCGTCGGCGTGGTGTACCCCGGGGTAATACCATCCCTCTGTTGGCACAATCTTTGTCACGTTCACCATTACGAACACTATGGTTATGGTCGTTTCATTTTTTGTCCTTCTCCAAACCATAGCATCTGTCCTACCATTTTCAAAAATGACACGAACGTGATGCAGAGGGAACCCCAAGGCTGACTACTCAGCCATATCGATACACGCCCAACACGCCCTGCAGCTTATGTGTATCCCGCTGTAAGCTCCTCTGAAGCGCTGGATGAGGCGAATGCAGAAAAGGCAGTGAAGGCAGCGCAGCGGAACATTTCGATATTTCTCCTCCCCTCGGTTGCTTTTTTTGGTGCTCCGAAGCTACTCCATTGGCCATTCTGCGCATTCGCATTGGCAACAGAATTCAGGACGTTTCGCCTGCACATAGAATAAATAAAACATGTGAGATGGTTTAACAAGGAATTTCTTTTTTTTTTTTTTTTTTTTTTTTTTTTTTTAATATACTTCCCTGCAGTGCGAATGAACTCCATTTTCTTTCTCTCCACGTAGAAGTTCTCTTTTTTCGTTGATTATACTTTTGATCTGTGCATCCGCTTCGCCGTTTCGATCTTCCAACGGGCTCTACCCACGCGGGTGCTTTTCCCCCGTAGGGTTACTCCGCTAACAAGGGAAGGGAACACAATAAAGTGTCACACTTTTCCTACATCGCTATGCTCCCAGATCAGATAAACACAGGGAGGCAAGCACGGGGAGAGTAGTAACACTACTGAGGCATCCGCCAAGTGTGCACCTTCCTCCCCACACCCCCCACACTTTGTGGGGAATGTCCGAATTGTTAAATGCTCTCCCACCTTGTGTTAATTGCTTTCATTTTGACTCCCTTTGTGATAACCACGCCCCGTGGTGGAGCACGTGCCAGGAGCAAATGTGCCCCCACCTTCGTAAGAACCCACCCCTTTGAGATAGCGAAAAGGGAAATTCATCTGTACAGAAAAAAGGGAATCTATGTAATCCGACAAAGAGGTGGGCCCCACGAGGAGAAGAGTCGAAAGGGGGCAAGACGAAAAAAACGCAGAGATGGAAGCTCTAATGACCACAGAGAAAACACAAAACGTGAGGGGGAATCCACGCCTATTCAGGAGGACCGCGTGAAGAGGCATGCCGTGAGGAAGGACCACAAACGCAGGCACTCTTCTAATGTGCCTAGTATTTTAAACAGAAGGAGAAACAAAAAATATACTAAGGAGGAAGTGAAAGCGGAGAAGGAAAGACAGTTGAAGGATAAGTTAACGAGGAGGAAAATTTCCCAGGGAATTCTAAAAAAGGGGAAAAGGCGGGGTAGAAGGATCAACGACGAAGATGATGGTGAGGAGGTGGAGAGGAGAACAGACTTGACCACTGGCACGAGGGGGGATTCGCCAAATGAGGGGAAAGCAGATCGGGGAGAAACAAATGAGGGCTCCGTCAGTGGAAGACGCAACCGAGGTGGAAGGAGAACCAACCGCGGGAGACGGATCCCGTCGCACAAGGAGCAGAAAATCCTGGACATGTTCCAAAATGACCTGAACGAGTCCATCGAAAGGTTAAATAAGAAGACGAGAAAATATGAACTGTGCAGGCAGAATGAGAAGTTGAAAAGCGCAATGCAGAGCAATGAAATAATGCGCAAGGTGTTAGCGGCGGACAAGTCTGCAGAAGGGAGGAGCAGAAGTAGAAGTGGAGGTAGGGAGCGGAAAGAAGGGACAGAACCCACAGGACCCAGATGGACTCCTCACAGTGCAGATGCCCCTCAGATGAACCGGCGCGTCCGCAAATATGTGGACGACATTAGCGATCACGCAGGTAGGGGACAGACTAAACATTCAGATGAAAGGACCAAAAAGGAGAGCAATGAGGAGGAGAAAGTGGAACTGTATTCATCACCTTGTCGAAAGGGAAAAACCAAGAAAGGGGATACACACAGGAAGGAAAAAAAGACAATTTTGGAAGAAACAAAGATGACGAAGTTGAGACAAAGGAACCGAAAAAGCCACACCCAGGAAGACGACACTGATAAAAACGGAAAAACAAAGGAGAAGAATCACACCGATCAAGTCGAAGGAGACAACTCAAAGCAAACAAAAGTTACTATTAAAATGGGAAAGAGCTTAGACCCCTTTAGAAGAAAAATTCACATCGATTACGACAACTGCGCTCTCAGCGATGGGGCGCGTAAGCGACTATCCAAATTTAGCAGCATCATCGATTTGAATGCAAGCGGAGGGGGGGAAAAGCACGACACGAAGGGGGGCTCGACGGAGGGGGTGACCAACGCGGAAACGAACGGGACGACAGACAGGGGCGCGAAGGGAGGGACAAATTCCACGACGGAGGAGTACCACACCTTTGCAGACCTAGGCATGTGTGACCACTTCCTCAATGTCTACTTAAAATACAACGGCATTGAAAAACCGACGGAGTACCAGGCCAAGTTCATCCCGCTTCTTATTTTTTTCATGAACAATGGGTATAGCGACTGGAGGAATTGCTTGGGGGGGAGCGGAAAGATGGAGGGAGCAGCCACCTTGGGAGGAGCCTCCACCCAGAGGACCCCATCAACCATGTCAACCCCGCTAACCTCGCTAATCGCGCCGACCGGTTCACTGGCCCCCCTGGGAGACTCCCGAAGAAGCGCCTATCCCCCCGTTGAACGCATAATCTACGTAAACAAGTACAACGAGCGGAGTGGCAAACTGGTTAGGACGTTCTTCCTGCACTGCCCCACGGGGACGGGAAAGACCTTCATGTATGTCCTTCCGCTCTTCCAGCACATTACGAATGTGTGTTTTGGCGTCACCCCGCGTTTGGGAGGAGCTCAAGGGGGGAAGGCAACGAAAGAGGGGAAAGCGAAAAAAGAGAGGAACCCCGTAGGTGTGAGCGCTGATTCAGAAGTGACTTCCGATAGGACGGTAGCATCGTCCTTCGCAACAACCTCGTATCGTGGCACCCCCCAGGACGGGGAAACCTTTTACGTAAGGAAGGAAATTAACGGGGACGTGACTTCCTTCCTCTGTTCCAACGTTAAGCAGGAGCAGCAGCATTTTGTCAAGCAAAATAGGAGCAACTTAGCCGCATGGGTGGACGCCTTAACGAGGACGGACCCCCCCGAAGAGGTGAAACGACACACCTGTAATGACCACATGGAGAGAAAAAAAAAAAACCTCTCGGATAAGCCCCCCAAAAATGACGTCCTAATCGTTACGTACAACAAGGAGCTAGCCGTTCAGATATATCGCCTATGTAAAGATTTAATCGATTCGTTTTTCAAATCATTCAAGTCGAAATTCTTCGATTTTAACGATTCCCTGGTGTGGTCTCACCTACCCTCCGTAGACCCACAAAGGAAGACCCTACTGGAGCGCCTGAATGTGAGCTTCAAAAAGGGGAAGAACTTAAATGTGTATTTGCTAATCGGGGGGAACAACATTAAATACCAGCTGAAGGGGTTGAAGAAGTCGAAGAGGTCAAACCGGCTTAAGGGGCCCCCATCCGAGGAACACTCGCCCGCAATACAGGAAGACCACATCGAGCACGTCAACATCTACGTTGGCACACCTGGCAGGTTAGAAAGGCTAATCAACGAAAGGCAAATCATTAACCTTGATACAATCTCAACCGTCGTACTGGATGAGTATGATTTTTTCTTTAATTCTTATGGGAAGGGTAGTGAAGAGACAAAGACAGACAAACCGCAAGTGGAAAATGAATTTTTCTCCAAAATATTAAGAAGCATATATGGTACTACGAAGAAGGGGCAGCCCGGGAGGGGCCCTCTCCCTCCGTGGACTTCCCTCACGAATGTCATCTGCTGCAGCGCAACTCCCGCGGTGTATTCGTACTTGACGTTCACGCGGCATATCATTACGACCAACTTCCTGCGCCACCTCCATGGGGGGAAAGAACCAGCTTCGGAGAAGGAAACAGCTGTGGAAAGGGAGGCAGGTGTGGAAAAGGAGGCAGGTGTGGAAAAGGAGGCAGGTGTGGAAAGGGAGGCAGGTGTGGAAAAGGAGGCAGGTGTGGAAAAGGAGGCAGGTGGGGAAAAGGAGGCAGGTGTGGAAAAGGAGACAACTGCGGAGGGAGAAGCACCCGGGGGAGGGCACTCAAGTGGGAAAAGCTTCCTAAGGGGGAATCGCCCCCCCATTGACCGCCAACTGGAGCAAAGTATGCTAAACGAGTTGTTCAATCTGAAGGAGTTCGGCAAAATTCCAGACAATCTGATTCACCTAAATTACACTTACGACAGGAGGAACCGAGAATGGAACAACAGCGCCACAATGAACTTCCTAAATGTACTGTTTTCTAACCCCCTGAGGAAGAACGTCCTGGTGTTTTGCAATACAAAGGTGAGGGTGCAGAAGTTTCGTCTGTTTGTTCGTTTGTTTTTGCATATGTATGTGTCTGTGATTGTGCATATATGTCTTTGCGTGCATGTTTGCAGAGGGCAGTGCCCCCTCTACTTCGATGGATCCTGTTTGGACCGAACCATCTTAGCGTCGGAGGCATCGCACCGTTGATGTGTCACCGGGGGAAGATAGTGTCACCACTGCGCGCACGTGGTGTCTGGCCCACCACACCGCTTCGCTGTTTTACCGCTTCGCCGCTTCACTGCTTCACCGCCTCCCCCACCGCAGAAACGCGTCATGGATCTGTGGAGCCTCTTCCGAAACCGATTCGACGTGGACATCCAGACCATCTTCGCAGAGAAAAACAAAAAAAGGAAAAAGATATTCACAGATATTAACTATGCCAATTTTTTTAAAAATGACTTAGTGGACTACAAAAATCTGAAGAAGTACGTCAATTTTTTGTTTCTCTCCACAAACTTGCTCTACCGGGGGATCAACTGCATGGGGTTCACCACCATCGTGAACTTTGACATGCCTTCAGGTGAGCGTCTCTAAGGATGCAGGCGCCATGGAGGAAGCTTCTATGTCGGTGCATCTGTCTGCACATCTATACACACGGTCGCATTACAGACGATTTCGCGGCATCCCCGCTGTCCCCCTCGCGTAGGCCCCACCGAATACGTCCACAGGTGCGGAAGAATAGGCAGGATCAACAACAAGGGAATGATTATTAACATTTTTGAGAGAAGCTTCCGCCGCACATACAGGCGAAGGATCTTTTCCAAGCTGAGCATCCAGCCCTACGACGTCGACTGCTACATGAACAATTTGTTCACGCTGGGGGGGGAGCGACTTCAGCGCGACGTCGGCAAAGAGATTGGCGAAGTTGGCGGAATTGGCGGAATTGGCCAAGTTGACTCCGAAGCGGGCTCCGTGACTCACTCCACGGCTCGCCCCAATGCTAGCGACAACACGGGGGATCCGCCTCCGCACAGCGAGCGCAGCACCTGAGGGGAACCGCGCGCAACGGAAAGGGTGTCAACAAGAGCGTCCAGTCGCAGAAAGAGGCAACATAATCCCCTGTGTCGAGTTTGCCTTTGTTTTTTTTTTTTTATCCTTTTTTTCGTATTTTTCGTATTTCTCGAATTTTTCGCATTTTTCGCATTTTTCGCATTTTTCGCATTTCTCGAATTTTTCGCATTTTTCGCATTTTTCGCATTTTTCGCATTTTTCCCATTTTTCGCTCTTTCCTTCCAATTACTCCCTCCATCCGGTGAGTATCCAAAAAAGGGGTGCTCTGTAGAGACTCCTAGTTTGTTCCTCCCACGCCATTCTGCACGTCAAGCGAAGTGGAATTTTTTTTTCCTTCCGATGATCCAGTGCCCCATAGTGCATACATTTGAGCGCAACTTTTTTTTGGGTAGCTGGATTATACTACACCACTGTTTTGCCGTTTCCTGCACATCCTTTCATCTCTCTCCCCCCCGCCGCCAACACCACGTTGTATAATTTCCCCCGATGAATTGGGCGTTCCTGTTTTATGGCAAACCCTGCAGCGGGAAGGACACCTTCATAAATTCACTCTTAAGGAAGAGGAAACAGCTGGAGTTGTTCCTCTACCTTCTTAGACATTTGGTAGACAATAATGAGTCTTATGTGCGTCTAAAGGAGAAGATATTTTTTATCCAACTGATTAAATATTACTATGGGGTTCGCAATCGGAAGAGGAAGGTTTCGATATCTTCCGGTTATGAGGGGGAGACTGATCGGACAGTGTCCTTCCCCTTTTTGGTTCAACTAACGAGGCATCTCCTTCACATTTGGAGGATCTCTGGGTCGATCCCCCATGCGGGCTTTAAAAGGGGAACGAAAAGGGCTAAAAATGGAAAGGCAGAGGAACAACTCCTACGTGGAGCTCCCCCAAGAGAAACCACCCGTCAAGTTCACCCAACCCTGCGCAAAGCCCCCCAAGGGAACCCTATCAGCAGGAGGAGTGACCTCCCAAACCAGTCAAGCAGCTTCCACCTGATTTGCTACTTGTACAAACAGAAAGATCAATGGATGGGTTATTATCGTTCCTACTTACGTAGAAATAAAATAAAAATTTTTCACTTATCGCTCGATTTTATAGAGAAACAGTTATATCGTGAAGGCCCACCCGAAGTGACCTCCTTCTTATGTCCAGCGAAAGTCCGTCAAGGAAAACTTCATCTGTTACTGAACAGAAGGTACACCGTTTATGGGAGGGAGAAACATGATTGGGGGGTTTACTACCCTATCGTGAAGAAGACCACAATCAAGGGGGGAGACATTATGCTGATCGGGGGGGACAGCGGCACGAACAGCGAGAAAGTAGCGAACATAGCAAAGGGAGCAAGCGGGACGTACATCGCCAAAGTAGCGAAGAGAGCAAAAAAACCGACGTGTGCTAACCAAGTTAAGTACTGGAGGACGGCCAGACGCATTGCCTACGCCTACTGTGCATCCCTAATGCAGGCGGAGAATCAGCGGAGTAGTAGCAGCCCCCGCGGGGAAATCGCTGAGCATACCTTTATCCTCCTCAACGACACATTCCACCTCCCCTCAATGAGGAAAAAGTACTACCTTCTCTGCAGGAAGTGTAAGGACATGCCACTATAAACTATATATATATGTGTGAACTTATGAGCGGGGAGAACTGACCTGTCCCGCTACTCCTCCTTCACGCGTTCGCCTAACGAGGAAGCGAACAGAGACACTAATGAGATAATTATTCACCAAACTTACCTCCAAACAAACAACTAATCCCCCCGTTCGCAGACCACTTCAAATACGCGCAGATTTACCTAAACGCGCCCCTCAACATGTGTTTAGAACGAAACCGACGGAGGAAAAAATTCAAGCCCATAGCAAACAAGACGATTGTGCGGAACCACTTTTATCACCAGAAATATGCCGTGCGGTTTAGAGGAGAAAGTCAGACGAGATCACCCAACGGGGTTACTGTCGTACCTGGGGGTACCAAGTGGCAGAAGAAGGTTCTCTCCATTCAGGTGGACTCCTCAGTTCCGGAAAAGGTTTGCCCCGTGGATGCGCGTGTTAGCGGATAGATTTGTCTTCATATGATCGCATAGAGACTTCACGACTACCCACACGCATCCACCTCCGCGCCGTGGAAAACACCTCTGTGCATTTCCATCACCCAAACCAGCTTACAGAAGCACTGCGATTCATCTATTGCCATTTGGACGAATTGAGAAATGAATCAAGGGGAAACCAGACTCGCAAAGTGCAGGAAATAAAGCGGGATAATCTTCCAAACCGCCTGGATGTAAGGACGTCTATATTGCCATTCATATTTGTTCATCGTTGACATGTTGAGGAAGTTTTCCTCCCCAGGTGAAGAATCACCCAAACAGGGGAGGCAAACACGTATCGCCAGGCAGTGTGTCCAATTGTTGAAAGTTCCACCAGGCGAATCACAGTGGAGATGTCCCAATTTGTCCATTTGCCTCCACGCAGATGTTAAACCTCATGATTAACAAAATAATTCACGAGAAGGTGAAGTCCCTCCCGAATGGTATCACCCAGTTGGCAGTCAGCCACACAGAAGCGTGACATGCAGATGGGGGCCAACCCATTGGCGCTCAAAATTGTAAAAACCTTCCATCGACGTAGTAGTAGAGAAGAGCAATTTTATCTCCTTCCACTTCTTTTTTAGAACGGAAGAATGAATGTGCCAAGAAATTCCGCGTAATTAAACTGAGGCTGTTAAGAGGTATGATCAGTCGCGGGTACACTTATCCTCTCATCGCATCGTCCGTGTGATGTGAGATGTTTTTTTTTTTTTTTCCACTTTGTGCTTTCCCCTTGTTTGCAGAATGCAGGGATGGTAAGGATTATATCATGGAGGACCTCGATGATATGTTTGTCGTGGAGTAGACAGTATGGGGTGTCTTTGCATCATAACGTGGCCATTCTGTTGATTCCCCTCCGGGTGAATTTTCCCCCCTCGGAAGCGCTTCGAAGCGAAAAAAAAACACTTCATACAGGGACGCACTAAGTCTAATAAATCACGAAAAAAAGAATTGCGAAGATAAAAAGGGAAACGAAATAATTTCATTTCCTTTACTCATAAACAAGAGATTTTTTTTTTTT